AATAATAGGTATTAATTCCTCTCCCCTGAGACATAAAAATCCTTTTGTTTTCCTTATTTCATTGTTATAATTACAGTTATATTGCAGGTTTGGGGTGGGCTTTTTTGAGAAAAACACATAAATTACTATATACCTCTGAAATACAGCTCACTTTATTGGAAATGTTAGTGGGTTATTCAAACTTATTTAATCCGTTTTGATGCCCTAAATGTTGAAAAGGAATCTGAGCCGATATCCAGTGATTTAGCTCTTGATGTTTTGTAAGGCAATGGGATGGGCAAACCTCCTTAAATTTCGGGTGGGGGAGGGTTAAAAGATTTTTTTTTTTTCACCTGGAGTAAATAGAGCATCTTCTTGTCTAAATTAGACAATCATATGAGTGTCCTATTAATAGGAACCATTAAACACATGGAGATGGCCTTGTTACAGAAACATTGCTATAAATCATGGTATTCCTACAGCATAATTTCTCTATCAGAAGTAGCGGAAAGCATATGCTGAAACCCGTGTTTGCTCCCCAAGAGTTTTACCTATGATTGCGGTGATAGCATACCTGTGCGTGTCATTGCTGGTCACAGGATATTTGTGTCTTTGTCACATGTGAAGTCCGTGCACTGGCAGCGTTTGCATGGCCATGGTATGATTTCTAAGGCAAAAGCCTTATGCTGCTGTAGACTAATGCCTCCCTCTTGATACTTGATATCATTGATTCTGTATCGGAGCTTTTTTGCACTTAAATAATCCCCACAAACTCTTCCTGCAGAGATTGCAAGGTTTGGAATTAAAGCATCTCTTCTGGTTGTGGTTTTTGGTTTTTTTTTCCCTAATCTAAAATTGCATCTTTCGCATTTTTTTGCTCTGATCATGACTTTCCCTCTATGGTTCCCAAAACGAACAGCTGGCTGAACTAGGATTGCCCTTATTTGTTCAACTGGTTTGGAGCAGCAGCTCTCAAAAATGTGGATCGAAAAAGGAAATATCAAATGCGTGTTTGATTTGCATGTCTTTCAATTTTAAGGATTTGATTCTGTTGCTCAGAATTTTAGGCGTAGATAACCCAGTTTGTTCTGTTCATGCGATCCATGGATTTTTAATGCCAGAGGAGACCATTAGGACCAACTGACTTCCAGCACAGAAAAGATCAAAGACCCGATAGTGTCTGCGTCAAGTCCAGGCCTCCTGTTTAGGCCAGATGATACGTTTCAGAGAAATAGCCTGTTTTAGCTGGACTTCTGTAAAACCACGCAAGCTACTTACCAGCTTTATCTGATCTACTTGCCCAAGTGCGTAATTTTCAACTATCTTGAAACAGTATTGGAGAATGCTTCAAAATAATTACCTGACTCCAAAACCTGTGCTGGGCGGGTGCGGGATTATTATGGCTGTGGTTGGAGAAAAGTGGCCTCGGTGAATCCGTAAGGCTAAACCAGGCAATGCCACAGGGTGCGGGCTGCCTTGACATAATAGAAACGCTTTGCCCATTGTCTGCGGAGCATTTGTTTTTTCAGGTATGTTCTGGACGCAAGCATCTTCCCAGCTGCCGTAATAACCTCCCGTCCTGTGTTTTCATGTCTTTGGATTGGATGATCTGGCAGGTTTCCGTGGGCAAAAGTGGGGGAAAAGAACCCCTCAGTGGGTTTATAGGGTGCTTTCCCAGACCCTTGCTTCTGACCGGCTGTTAGAGGTGGTAATGACGAATTATTGGGAACGGTGGACAGCACTCGTCCCCTGGGTGCGACTGGTCGAGCAGAGATTTTGGGTGAGAACGTCATTCTGGCACAGCTAGCAGGGCTGGTGGTTTTGAAAGACAACTTTCCAAAAGCTACTCCACCAGAAATCAGTCTCTGCCTCAAGCAGAAATTGCTGCCCTGACCCTGTGCCAGGGAATGATGTCCAAGTTAAGGCTACCTGCCCTCTTGTCGCAACAGCCCTTCCTAGCCCACGAGCTTTCTTGCAGCTCTGGAAAAGTGGCAGAGGGACTTGGAAGTAACTCCCACCCGCCCCGATGCTCCGGGTAAAGCGTGTCAGAGCTGCCGCAGAGTGCCGAGATACATGATGGCCCTGTTCAGCCCCACGCTGGATGAACAGAGAGGGTGGTGAGGCACTGGGACAGGTTGCCCAGAGAAGCTGTGGATGCCCCATCCCTGGAAGTGTTCAAGGCCAGGCTGGATGAGGCTTTGAGCAACCTGGTCTAGTGCAAGGTGTCCCTGCCCATGACAGGGGGGTTGGAACTAGATGATCTTTAAGGTCCCTTCCAACCCAAACCAGTCTGTGATTCTGTGATTCTATGATTCATAGAACAACGCCAGAGCCGAGCAAATAGCTTTCCTCAGATGGTGCTTTCTCCCAGGCACGTGGGGATGAGGCCAGCATGAGGCGTCAGGGTTACACAAGAAACTTTCGGTTTGTGTCAGGGTGAGTTTGCACAACTGGAAATGTAAATTTGTTGGGTTTTAAGAATATCGGCTGGAAGTCCTGCTGTTAAACGAGGTGTGAAAGAACTGACTTCACCACCACCGGAGGGTGCTACTCGGGAAAGTTGCTTGCCTGCCCTCTCCGTTTCCCTTTCTCAGAAACGCTGGCCCACCATGTCCGTAGATACTGGTGAGAAGTTGGGTAGTGCACTCTTACAGCGAGTACCGAGCATCTGTGCTCGCTCAGCGCTGTGTCCTGTCCCTCAGTGCTCCTCTGGCCACCAGAAGGGATAGTGCAGCAGAGGAAAGTCTACAGCACTGGCGGCTAGTACCTGTATCCCACCCCCCACCGCAGTGGCTGGGAGTCTTGCATCCAGAACAAGCGTGTTACCGCTGAAACTTTGGAGGTTGATGCTTACCCCCTTCTTTTGTATGATTCTTTCCTCCAAGACCCAACAGCGGTCTTTGCTTCTGCTGAGTACCTTGAGGCACGTCTTAGGCTGGAGGCATGTCTTAGGCTGGAGGCTGGCTGTGCACTTCAAGCCTCAGTCAGACGGAGGATTGCCCAAAAACAGGTGGCAAGAGGGTAATCTATTTTCCAGTTATACTTGGGTGTGATGGTCTGCAAGAGCTTCAGCTGCTAAGCCCTGGAATTCACACCCCGAGTGATTTCATCCTTATCTGGTGGATGTGTTCGTACACCGCCCACCTTGGGTTTACCACCTGCCGGCTCGGAAGCAGGGTTTGTTGGTTTTCACGATAGACTTTGTGGATCATATTCCTCCAGGCGACATTACTGACGAACAGGGGTGGATGTGCCAGGGCAGAGCTTTCCTGCCGAGCTCCCTAACCGTCAGCTGTTTGCAGTTCACCAGGTGGCAGAGCGTGTGGAGGCGCTGGGCCAGTTTGTGATGAAGACCAGGAGGACCCTGAAGGGCCACGGAAATAAAGTTCTCTGTATGGACTGGTGCAAAGACAAGAGAAGGATTGTGAGCTCTTCCCAGGTATGCTGGTGGGCAGGTGGTTCTCAAAGCTACCCTTGGGTGCTACACAGATCTTTCGGCTGTGCTGTGTGCTGCGCTTTGCAGGCGATGCCTGTGTATCCTGTCAATGTTTTCAAGATGCCCTTAAAGCAGTTCATTGGCAACTTGTGTTCAGAGAGTGTAAATCCAAGGTTCTGATCACCGCTGCACCCGTTGGAGTTAACACCCTAAGTATTTCTTGTCCAGTCACACAGGTTTTCTCCATATTCCTTACTACAGTGGAAAATAGAACTCATCTGAGGCAGCTTTCATTTCCTTGCTCTTAACAGATAAAATATTTAGTAGCTATTTCAGTTTACGTGTTCAGAGTAAGTAATCAGGAAAAGGGAAGGGAAAAATGTTGATTCTTCTAGAGATTTCCATGCACAGAATTTTTTTCTGCAGTCTGTATTTTTGGTGCAACCTTGAAAGCCTCAAATATCCTGCCAAAATTACTGCATTTACTTGGGCATTTTGAGAAGCGGTCCTAGCACCTGCTCAAGTCCAGTCTCATGAGCTGGAGGAGGTAATGAGATAATTGCTTCCCAGATCCCCTTGTTCATCCTGAGCCCAGAATGGCAGCGAGCGAGCTTGCTGCATCTCACAGCTGTTCATTGACCTACATGAAATCTGTCAGGGGTCTCACTTGAGGGATAAAAATAGGCAATCTGCATTGCAAGCCACCTTCAGTTACTGTGAGTTTTTACCATTCATGGTGATCTCAGCAAAGAGAATGACTTTAAATAATTAATGTCACATTTTTTTCAAGTGGTTAAAATGCCAATGTGTAGATCAGAAAGCTGAGCAGGCAAGTTGTAATGCTTTTTTGCATTTTTTGTTCTGTTTTAAGACCTGTAGTGAGTCCAGGTACAGCAACAATTGTTGCTCACTAATAAGCATTTTGCTTTCATGATACAGTGAGGATAACAATATTATGTGCATAGGACACAGTAGTTGGCATGAGTGAGGCCGGCATACACGAAGTGGTTGTGTTGCTCTCTCTGCTGTGTTTTTACACTGTTTAGCAGGTTGTGTCAATGGATAGTTGGAGGTTAAGTAAGTACAGTGAGAAGTACAGGGAAAACCAGGAAAAGACAGGAAAGGGGTGATGTATAAGCAGTAAAATGACCGTAAGTAGTCCCCATGAGTGGGATGGAAAAAAGCTGCAGAATTTTCCACAAATCTGGGAGGTAGGCTGACAGCCCTGTCTCTGGAAGGCCTCAGTTTCTCTCTCTGTTTGTGTGCTTTCACGCAGGATGGGAAGGTGATTGTGTGGGATTCCTTCACTACCAACAAGGTAAGAGAAACTTCAGGAAAAAATAGATTTCTGTGCGCTGGGCAAAAGATGGTGGGGTAAGATGGAGGGCTGAAGGGCTCGTGGGAGGCAGCAGGATGATGGGATAACATGGAAACCTCTGCCAGCACCCGGAACCACGGGGCCCTGGGCACACCACCTCCTGTGACCTGTCTCTGAGCAAAGTCCCTGTCAGGGCACTGGGGTCCGTCGTGCTCTCCATCGGGAGGCTCTGATCCAGCCTCTGCTGACGGGGAGGGCTCCTGGCTGGGGCAAAGCCCTGCCAGCAAAACAGAGGCCCTCCCCAGGGATAACCCCTGTCGGAGGTGCCATATGTGACTACCCGGGATCCTTCAGCCGAGGTGTGCACTGTGAAACGGTGCCGCTGCCCCTCCAAGCCCTGGCAGGGCTGCCCCATGCTCCCTCCTCCACACAACTGAGGAAAAACGCTTGTTTGTAACTCGCTTCTACATGTGCAGCAGTGGGGACCTTTTACAGCATCGAGTATCCCAGATAAAACGTGCTCCGTGATCAGCTGGGGGCTCAGGAATAAGGTGGAAAGCGTCAGGGAGGGACTAGCCATCCTCCTGCTGCTCGGCTGGGTTCCACAGTAAGGGTTGTCCCAGCCTTATGTGTGAGTTTTGGCTGTGGGAAGCACCTTTCACTGACCCTAAGGATGTCCCACGGAAATACTGAACTCTCCCCTCTGCGCTGTTTTCCTTGCACCGATTAGGGGAACAGTGGTACCCCAGTTTAACGAGATGCTGTGTTTCAGGAACACGCAGTGACGATGCCGTGTACCTGGGTGATGGCGTGTGCGTATGCCCCGTCTGGATGTGCCATTGCTTGTGGGTGAGTTCCCGGTTTCCCCGCTGCTTGGTTTGTAGTGGTGTCCCAGTGCCTTCAGATGCTGACAGCTAGGGGTTCGCGTGCCTTGGCGGTGGGTGGCAGGGCTGGGATTCAGTCCCTCTGAGTCTGTTCCCATCAGGGCTCGTATACATTATCTCCACTGACTTCAGTGCAATAGCATTTGTTGTGTAAGCATGGAGAATAATCCTCTTTCAGCATGTGTATCACGGGTTAGGAATTATGCATGCATGCAATTTCCCTGTTCCAGTCTGGCTATGTGTGTGGGATATATCTTCTAAGGGAGAGCGGTCTTAACCCTGTTCTTACTTCGCACTCCCTCTTCTACGACACAGAGAAGGTTAGTCATTAATAATTACCAGCACAGGAATAGATCTTGCCAAGATAGGTTGGGGAGAAGTAACCCCATCCTTGATAATCATCTCCAAGTTTTCTGAGGCCTCAGGTTTGAAAAAAAAAAAAGAAGAGTTTATGCAGGGGAGAAAACAAAGAGATGAGATGTTGGCAAAACATCTTTTTAAAAGGGGCTGGATGGATCAGACAGACAAAGCAAGCTTGGGGTGGGAGAAAGGAGCAGAGGGAGACTTCACCGTGCAGCTTGCAGATCTAGAAAGCAGCAGGCTCTGTAAATGTGTGTGGAGAGGGAGTCTGGAAACTGTGTTTTTGACTAAAACTCAAAAAATGGCAAGAAAGCTCTCTCTTCACACTTGTAAGAGAGACAAGGAGGGCATATATTCATTGCACTCCCTACTTCTCTATTCCTGTTGTGCTGTGCACATAGTATAAGGCACAGACCTGGTGCCTGGTGTTGTTCCGGAATCCCAGGGACCAGGGCAGGGCTGACCTACCACAGCTCTAGAAAAGAGGGTCCCCAAGTCAGACCCTTTTAGAAAAGTGTCCCACATCTGGCCTGGGAGACAGAGCTTAACTGGTGCAACATCCAGGAGGGACACACCAGCTACGTAGGTCACTGCTTCTGCTGCCTTTTGGCCAAACCCTTCCAAAAGCCCTGCCTTCACACCCAGTACCAGCTCTTCTAGAGGACTTGGGTCAAATTTACTAGGGTAGATAAGTAGTGATGCTTAAATACCGATCCTTGCAACGACGGGTGTGAAGGAGAAAACGGCAGGTTGGCCGTACGTGAAGCGTTAACCCTGAGGTGCCGCAGCAGTCACCTCCCTGTACTGTCGTGAGGTTTCATTCAGTGCCATTTATAAACTCGAGGAGGGTAGAAAACAGGGAGGTGCAGCTGCCAGAGTTCTGTAAAGCAGCCAGCCTGGTGAGGCAGCTGGGGCTTCCCTGCACGGGGAGATCCCGCAGCACAATACAGGGAAGTCGGTGCTTGTAAGGGTTTGGCAGCGCAGCACTGACAGGTGGTGTCCTTCCTATCACCACTTGCCTTTTGTCCATTGCAGTTTTAACCAGTTCTCCTGTCTCTGTTATTGCTATTATTACTCTCTTTAGTGGCCTGGACAACAAGTGCTCTGTGTACCCTCTGACATTTGACAAAAATGAAAACATGGCTGCAAAGAAGAAATCGGTGGCAATGCACACAAACTACTTGTCTGCCTGCAGCTTCACTAACTCAGACATGCAGGTAAACGCATTCTGTTTAGTATGTAGTGATAGGACAAGGGGTAATGGGTATAAATTGAAATCAGGGAGGTTTAGATTAGATGTCAGGAAGAAATTCTTCCCAGAGAGGGTGGTGAGGCACTGGAACAGGTTGCCCAGAGAAGCTGTGGATGCCCCATCCCTGGAAGTGTTCAAGGCCAGGCTGGATGAGGCTTTGAGCAACCTGGTCTAGTGCAAGGTGTCCCCGCCCATGGCAGGGGGGTTGGAACTAGATGATCTTTAAGGTCCCTTCCAACCCTAACCATTCTATGATTCTATGATTCTATGATTCCCTGCGCGCTGCTTGCCTGGCCTGAGCCGCACTCCTCCCCAGTGCAGCCGACCTCCCGGGCACCTGGGGCACCCAGGGCCATGTCCTGCCCTGTGCAGGGGCTGCTGGAAGACCCTCTCGGGGGGCAAAGAAGTTGCTGTGAGGACATGCTTGTGGTAGCCTGCGCCGTGCAAAGGCCTGTCCCTTCTGCAAAGGGAGCTCGTTGGTACCTGCGCGTTCTCTGCGCACTGGGGCTGTGCTGGCTCGTGCTTTTGGGAGCTCAGACTAATACAAACAGTTAAAAACCCAGCTGAGACAGGCTCGGTTGGGGATGTGCTATGCCAGCCGTGGGAGACTCTTGTTAACCTGCTTCGTCCTGAACGCCCGGCCAACTCTGCTTTTGCCGTCATCCTTAGCGCTTTTTGTTTGTAGCACGGGAGCTGTTTGAGCTGGAGGATGGCCCCAGCGCGCCAGCCCTGTTGTCCGTACCTGCCGTGCTGTGTTCCCTGGGGGAAAGGAGTGATGCTATCCCTGTTGCACAGCCGGAGGTCGGAGCACAGAGGGTCACAGTGGGAGATGATGGCAAAGCCAGGAACTAAATGCAGATCTTCTGAGAGCAGGCCAGCCTTCCTCTGTAGTGAACATCTCAAAGACCTCTTCCTCCAGGAACACGAAAGATGATGAAACGAGCTGGGATAATCCCCTTGTCCTCTCTGGTTTTTGAATTTAATTGAAGCTTTGCTCAGTGCAGATCTGCAGCAAAATAAGTGGTGGAAGGGAGCTTTTTTGTTGCTCTCTATGTCAGCAGGGCTGCTGGAAAGGGAATACCTTGTCCGCTTCCTCCAGATATTTGGGGCTCTTCTGAAGTAAACACCAGCTCTTATTGCTTCTATTTCAGGACACGAGATGCCCAAGAGTATGTTGTTGTCATTCTAGGGTTTCTGTAATGACTCTGAGGTGCTAATTTAAGTCCATTGCCATGGAAACAAGTGGTGGAGGTACCCAGCGCTCAGGCTTGCTTAGCCCTGACCTCGCTGTGCTGGAGCCCTGTGTAATTAGAGCAGCCTAAATTAAGTGGAATGGTTTGGATGAGATAGAGAACCGGTATCGTCTTTTTGTGTCCATACCTATGTGCATCGTGATTAAATCCTATGAAAGGAAAAAGAGTTATTTATTTTTTTCTCCCTGTTAATTACAGCAAACTGCATTGATTTTGAAGGTAATTTAGTGCTGTTGTTAAATAATGCCACATTGGCTTTAGGTGCTTTATATTCAGTGATTCAGAGATTTTTCTGAAGACTTCAAAAAGAAATTTTCTTGTGACTCACAGGCTTACAGTGATCGTTTATAGCACGACACGTTATTATTGGAACCAATACCAGCAAGTGGGTTGGCCAAGCTTCTGTTAGGACGCTGTTATGTAGGGGAACCTAGAGAATCCCAGCATTTCTTATCCTTTTTCTTTTTACACAACAGCCTCAGGATTAAAATTACTCCGTAACTCTGCAGGTGCAGGGTGCAACAGGCGCGCTGGGCGGGAGCTTTCCCAGCTGTGTGCGCAGCAGCTCTGCTCCTGGCTCGTGTCACCGAGGGATGTGGTACCGGTAGCCTCAGGATTAAAATTACTCCGTAACTCTGCAGGTGCAGGGTGCAACAGGCGCGCTGGGCGGGAGCTTTCCCAGCTGTGTGCGCAGCAGCTCTGCTCCTGGCTCGCGTCACCGAGGGATGTGGAGTCCCCCCGCCCAGTGCCCTTGCAGCACCCGCTGCTAGGTACTGTGGGTGCTGTTGCTCTGCCTTGGCTCCAACTACAGCTCGGTTTTCCCTCAGTGAAGGAAAGACAGGGTGGGAGTTCAGGAGCTGGAGTGCGGACGGGCACCTGGCAGTGCAGTGGAACGAGGGCTCGTCATTGATTAAAGCCACTCTCAGGCTGCAGGGTGCTGAAAGAGGGGGTCCATCCCCGCTCCTCCTCATGTTCCCACCCTGGGCCAAGCCAAGCACTGAGCTGCAGGGCTGGGTGACCCACACGTCTTGTTCTCAGTGCCCCGAATCAGTCTTGCCAGAGAGAGCCTCCCCCGCCTCAGTAGGCAGGGAGCCAGGGAGCCTTGCTTCCTAAATTAGGTATCTGCAGCTCTGCGGTGCGATAACGCTCCCCACGTGACAATGCTCCATGGGTATTAATAGCAGCAGTTAAATGGGATCTCGAGTGTTTTGCATAGGGCAGGCTGCCGTAGCCCGGCACAGCAGGGCTGAGAAGCGGGATGAGGCCCCTGGCGATGGTGGAGGAGGCAGAGTTGGGGATGGCCCCACTGCCGCTCCCGGCCCCAGTGTGTGTGCTGCTGGCGAGCAGGGGACGTGTCCCTGCTGTCCCCTCCCATGTGTAAGGGCTGCCTCTGGATGGGCCCCCATCCAACACTGCTCGTGCAGCAAGCCGGATAGGAAAGGCTGTTAATTCCCTTCTGGTTTTGGATTTGGGGAGCTGGTTTGGCTTTCAGTGGAAACACCCTGAAGTTGAGTCCATAATGCTTCTCTTCAAGCATTAGCCGGAGCTCTGGCTTGCCAACAGACCCTTCCCTTAACACCTCTAGCTACTCCTGTTCCCCTCATATCTCTTAACATGCTGTTCCAAGAGCAGATTCTCAGAGCTGAAAGTCTTCATTCCTCAGCCAAGTACAAATACTTCTCAGAACAGAGGAGTTCATTGATCTAGCTCAAAAGCTGGCCGGAAAGGCAAGTCAGGACTTTCTTCTGCTATTATCATCTCAGAGTATTAGCGTCCCTCTACCGCAGGATTCGGAACAGGCTGTTCTGCGAACTCCGCTGTTTATGGGAGGGGTTTTTGGAGCATCTGTCAAACACGTTCAGTGTTTAACCTTTATGCAACTCTGTGAATGGTTTCATGTGTGATCGTTTTCTTCTTGAAGAGTATTTTCTTTTCCACTTCTAAGCTACCCACTGGGATCCCTTCAATTTTCCTCAGTGACCGTGAGAAAACCCTGTGTGCAAGACCGAGTGCCCCCCGAAGTTCACGCTTGCCTCCTTCCACGCTGGTGCACAGGGACCCCGGCAGCCTACGGAATTGGCGATTGCATAACAGCTTTGGGTGCCAAGGGGAAATTTTGAACAATTGAGCATCATCAGGGTTTAGCCACAATAACAAGCGCTGGTCACGTGCTTTCTGCAAGCACTGTAGCAGCTGAGGAAAGCTGTGAGCTGTGTTCGGTCAGTGTGTGTTCAAGCCCTTTCACACAAATGGTTTTGGACAAGTGAGAGGTGATGGACTTACCAAACAACTGTCTAGACAGGCTTATTTCTCTTTCGTAAAACCCATGCCTTAAGCCCAATTAATTTGGTTTAAACTGGCTATTTCAAGCAGAAAAAAGAGAAATTTAGAGAGTTAAACAGGTATACTTAACAATTCTTCTCTTTACCCGTGTTGAATTCCAGCAGCCTAAATGTAGATAGGGTTAACTACAAGGACAGACAGGAATAACAGTCTGCTTCCACCTCCTCTTTCTGGAGGGATATGGTAGTGCCAGCAGATCCTTACGGCCATCAGCTCTCCAAAACCCACCTTGCACAAAACTGACCCTTATGGAAATGCTGTGTAGGTATAACTGTGTCAATACAGCTCTCCTTTCCACTCTCACTTCTCTCCTTAAAAACAAAAACCATCAATTGTGCTTAGGATTCATATTGTTCTTATGGCTTTGATTTACTGCGTACTGTTTAATTAGCTGAAAGCTGTCCTTGGTGTGTGTATAGGACGTCAGTTGTTTCCTTCTGAACTTGATGATCTGCTGATTTTTGTATTGTGACTCTTCTTGCCACATCCCATAGATCCTGACAGCAAGTGGAGATGGAACTTGTGCTCTGTGGGATGTCGAGAGCGGGCAGCTTCTACAGAGTTTCCATGGTCATGGAGCTGATGTCCTGTGCCTGGACCTGGCCCCTTCTGAAACAGGAAATACATTTGTCTCTGGGGTAAGCAGGAGCTTCCTATCGTAATATAAAATTAAGGAACATGGAAGGGAGAAGGCAGTAAAGCGGGAGGCTCGTGATCTTAGTGAGAGAGTGCCAGAGTATGTGTTGGAAGCCCCAGTGCAATCCACTCGTTGCAAGCACATTTTCCAAGCTGGAGCAAATTAAACCCCTGACTGTGGGGTCAAACCCACCCAGCCAGTCTGACCGCGGTTCTGCTTATGTTGCAAATTCCACCCTACACCAAAGCAGTCCAGCCCGAGATCAAAACGACGCCTCTCCCGGGAAGGGCAAAGCTCAGAGCTGGAGCAGCGGGCTCCTACCACAGCAGAGGTGTGAACCCCTGTGGTCAGGAGCCCGGCGCAGCAGGCGACTTCCCGCATTTGGCTCCTTGCTCGTGGCCGGCTCTCTGGGGTGTGCCAGGCGGCTGCTCGGGGCGTCGAAGCGGGGCTGCAAATAACATGCGTGCCACTGTGTCCCTCAACCGCTCCCCAGAAGCCAAGGGGTAGCTTGGACACTGCCTAAACCCTCGTACAAGTCGGAGCAGGGAGTTGAGGTGTGGCCAGATCAGCTGTTGCCGAGTCCCCTCTGCCTTCCAGTGGTACCAGAGGCATTTAAAGCCCCTTTGTCAGTCCAACACTGCCCGCTCCCCTTTCGTGGCCCAGGGGAAGACACAAGCCTTGCTGGGGCTGTAGGACCAGTCTAGGCAAGTAGCCAATCCAGATCTTGTCCTGCTGCCGAGGCATTGCTGTTCCCGGGCAGCCAAGCCGTTGGCATGCAGCTTGGCAGCAAGGCAGGCAGGGCACGAAGGTGAGTGGGCTGGGGCTCAGCTCCTTTTTGAGGTGGTGCTGGTCTTTCCCACATCAGAAATTGAGTGTGCAGGTGGGAGCTGGGAGGAGCTGAAAGGTGACCTCTCTTACTGGAGGCTGATGGAAATGGCCCTTGGGCCAGAGGGTGCCGACCATGGATTAGGGCATTCCACTTGTGCTTGGAGTCATGGTCCCATGCCTACACGGTAAACCTGGCTCTTTTTTGGCTGGCCCACGAGGAGCAAAGCCCAGCACACTGGCCCAGTTTGCCTGCTGCTAGCACAGCTGCTCTGAAGCGTGACTGAAAGCTAATTCCATCCAAGTGCATTACTCCTCCCGGGCTTTCTTGTTACTGAGCTTGCTTCCCAGAAAGGATAGATTCATTCTCCCTGGGAACAGCTCAGCTTATTATAGGGCAAAGAATTGCAAGCAGCTATGGTACTGCTAAGAGAATATGTCGTACTTGTGTCGATGTAGCAGCTTGGGCGTGTCCGTGCTTACAGGGCTTAATTCATCACGTGCGGAATACCGCTCCAGTGAAGATGTGTTTTGTGTCATGTCAACGCAGGTGTAGCCAAAACAGCGCAACCTGGAGGTGCCGTAGCAAAGAGGGACCCCCTGGGTATTGTGCCTGTGTGATACAGTGACCTTGAGCTGGAATAAGTGCAGATAGGTCAGGGTGTAGGCTGGATACCATTACATTTAACGACTTAACTGAAAACCCAGCCCTCCTGGGTGAGCTCGGGGCTGCATCCTAGGCTGTTAGGCTCAGCGCCCTCTGAGCGCTGCTTCTCTCTGGATAGAGCTCGGGGGGCCCATCTCTCTGCAGGTGGCTGCTGGTTTCTCCTTCAAATCCTTAGGATTCAAAGCAGCAGCTTGTCAGATTGGTCTTGCCCCAGACTCCCAGGAAGGTCATTAAGAACAGCGCACATGGGAGCGATGTGAAGGGCTGGGCTTTGGCTGGAGCGCGGCTTGAGAGGGAGATATGCCGAGTCCAAAATGTTCTCCATCCTGTTGATTTCCCCTGCACAGAAACCATCAGTTGGTACAAAGGAACGTTACCTCTTTTAAATAATGACATCATTAGTAAAAAAAAAAGGGGGGGATTTTATTTTAACAAGAGAATTAAAAAAAAAAGAAATATGTGAAGAGACTGTTTAATTTAATTAGCAATCATATTTGCTTAAAAATAACTGTCGTGTGGCACGGTCTGCTGGGCAGGACGCACCAGCTTGGCAGGAGCAGCAATCGCCTGGCCTGCCCTGTGTTTCCCACACAGCTTCAGAGAAGCTGAGCCTGCCCCTTGGCAGGGTCGTATTTGTTAAAATCTCCTGCCACTCTTCCAAGTCTGTGTTCTTCTTCTTGTCACCGCGGTTGTGACAGCAGCGAGACATCGCAGCTGAGAGCGTGGCCCTGGAGGTATGAGGTGGTTCCTGCCCGGACGGCGTGGGCTGAGCCCCTTGCCCAGAGCTTTCGGGGTGCCGAGCACCTTGCAGCAAGCACCGAGTGATGGATGATCGTTGCAGAACACAGCTTGGAAGGGCAGGTTGGAGCTTGGCCATTGAGATGACACGCTATTGTACTGCTTCTCCAAACCTAGCCAAACCCTTGGGCAGATGGGAGCGGAGCCACGGCAGGGGTTAATGCTGGTGGGAGGCTGGGCAAGAGACCCTCCGGATGCACTTATTTCATCTTCTGTTTCAGCATGTGAAAAGAATTAGTTATAAAACTTTAAATGCTGGGTATGAATTTTTCATATTGGGCGTGTGAAGTGGTAAGAGAATGAGCCCGTTGTGCAGCTCTGTGGCATGGTGGGACTGCAGACCACGGTACAGCAGCAGCATGAGCAGAGCAGGACTGTGAGTGCTGCTTAGTATGGGAATGCCAGTGCAAACACCCCCAGCTTCTCTGCACCCCACCATGCTGCACGGCAGGGCTGTGCCCTTGCTAGGCCCTGGCACCGCCGGGCTCCAGCCTTCCTGGTAAACTCTGCCCCTGACTGCAGCTGCACCAGGCTGGGGGTACCAGGAGAGACCCAAGGATTAACCAGTTAAATCCCCTCAGAGCTGTGGTATTCTCAGAGCCTTTGAACGTAGCTGGGCTTGGTGATGTGCATCAGGCAGGTGAGGGGTGAATGTCCCCATTTGCACAGCCGTCGTGGGTTGTTTTGTCTTATTAGGGATGTGACAAGAAAGCCATGGTTTGGGATATGCGGTCCGGTCAGTGCATCCAGTCATTTGAAACCCACGATTCGGATATCAACAGTGTCAGGTCAGTATGTTTCTGGGAGAAGGACACATTTGCAATGTTGAGCAATGTGCTGGTTCTATATTTGAAGTCTGACCTCACCCAAGTAATGTAATGTGTTCTGGTCTTTTTTTACTCATGCACAGATACTACCCAAGTGGAGATGCTTTTGCCTCTGGTTCAGACGATGCCACGGTATGTTAATTCAGCAACCTGATGTAGGGAAGGTTCTGTTACTTCTCAAGACAGATTTTCCTGAAAGGCTAGGTCACATCCACAGTGGACTTTAAGTGACTAAACTGGGCACGTGACACCAAAGTTGCAGAAATAATAATGCTACGATATATATAGTATTTAATATATATTATATTATAATGCTGTAAGGAAAATCTGTGTAGGTCACCTCTGCAAATTTTTCTATGCGAGGTGCTCTCCAAATACTCATTTCAGATTATCTATATTTTGAAGTTTCATTATCAAAATTAGTTGTCTTACTGGAAGAGATTTGGCTTCATATAGTTGTTGGTCCCAGCAGATGAAATGTTGCAGCTGGTGTCAGAAGGAGCAGCACAGCTCAAGGACGTGAAGGGAGCCCGCACGTGGGCACGCACGTCCCGGCAAGCGGAGCTGGGCAGAGCCCCAGGGTGGCCCCAGCCACCTACATCTCCTCCCTGTCCTCCTGACTCACTGCCAGAGCTCTTCACGGGGATGAGTCACGGCATCCAGGTCATCCGAGATGATACAATAGCTCTTAGTGCATCTTACCCATCTTATCTGGGAGCAAGCTGCTGGGGGGGCACAGGATGTATTGACAGGTAATTGTGTCAGCACATGGAGTGCAAAATGCCTCTTATCTCCCCGTGCCTTCAGGCCCCTGAGTGATGCACAGGGCTGGTGGCTCTCACTGCAGCTGGTGGGTGGTACCTGTGGGGTACCACAGCCCGGCAGTGAAGTGTAAAGAGCAGACGTTTGGGAGGTACCTGGCACCTTGTGTCTCCTGTTTTTTCAAACATCATGAGGGTGAAGACTCCAAAGTACTCTGCCCTCCCAGCATGTCTTGAGCCTGTTCCAATACTGGCTAAACTCATTAGAAACATTCCCCTTGTCTTCACTGGATGTGAAGACCTTCTCTTCTGGAGAAAGTGTACACTACTTTTAGATCTTAAAAGCTGTGATCATAAATTAATAGCTCTAGCTCTGTGGTGAGCCCAGTGCCTCTGCACATTCAGATGCAGTGCTGTGAGCACTTCAGATGCTGAGGGAGCGAGATGGAGGAATTGTCCATCATTAAATTCCAATGAGAGCACTCTCTTTTTATGCCCAGAGCAGGGGGCTCTGGGCTTCCCTGCTTATTAATTTATTTGACAGGGTTTTTCTCTCTTAACTATTCCTGACACCCCCGACTCAAGCAGGAGAATGGGAAATTCCATCTCTGTGCTTTTGTCAGAGGCTTTGGCAGTTTCCATCTACTTCATTCTTCAGGTGAATAGTTGGGTGTTTTCAGCGTTACGGGCTGATACACTGACTGATAGCCTTGACCTGATTTATGTACTTGGGGATTTTGAGGAACAGATAATCCTGACTGTCTGGAGGGGAACCATAAAAGCCTGCTCACATGGGAGTGCTGTCACCTGCGGAGACCTCAGCTTCCTATCAGGGTGATGGAATTAACCAGCATGGAGCACTGGGACACCTGGGCTTCTCCTACCTGGCAGCTCCCTGCTGCGAGTGAAACAGCCTCTCCGTTATGTGCAGGCTTGAGTATCAGCCATTTTTCATTACTAAAGTCTTAATATTGGCAAACCCCTCTGGCCTGTGTTTGTTTAATTAACTTAGTGAGGAAGGTGTTCGGTTCAAATAGTTTCAAAGTGCATTTTGATTTCAGAGCTAGCAGACCGCCTTTCTGCGTGGCAGTGAAGTCTGGTCTGTCTGTATGTTATTCCCATGTTAAACGAGCCCAAGTATGCTGGCAAATGATAAAAACAGCAAGTGCAAGTTGTAGAGGTGATCAGGGATTTTCCATGAGAAATGAAAATCAAAGATCTTTGTAAAAATATGTTATTTCACGTGAATTATTTTCACGTAGGTATTTGAGACAGAGAGGCCTCACGGAAGGGCAGGAGCTGTTTGCTCTCCTGTCTTACTCAGAGCAGGGACAAGCATCCTGGCTTTCCCGTGCCAAGGGACTGTGCAAGCACCGTGCCGTGGGGTCCTGATTCTCCAAGTTCTTCACTCAATTTGTACAAAACAGCCGTGTGTTGCCTAGATCCTGGTGAGACTCCAGGGGAGTCCCAGTTACAGTGGGTGGGAGCAGCAGAAGGAGGGATGCCAAGCAGCGCTTCCCGTGATGCCTGTTAGACTGTGGTCCTTCCCACTGCCATTTTTTCAGTGAAACGTCCTGGCCATTCACTCCAGCCTTTGCTGAGGCACGCGTGTTGGTTTTGTTTTCATCCCAGTGCCGTTTATATGACCTTCGCGCCGACAGGGAAGTAGCAATCTATTCCAAAGAGAGCATCATTTTCGGAGCATCCAGTGTGGACTTCTCTCTCAGCGGTGAGGCTTGGACTTTCGGGGGTTATCTTCGTGTTGGGATTTGAGGGGGACTGTAAAGTTTTTCCACTTTAATCTGACAAAGCGTTGGGTATTAAAAGTTACTAAAAGTAGTACTAAGCACCAAAAGAAACATGTAAGGCATGGAAGCCTTTTTTTGCTTCTGTAAAAATGATTACTTTTCAAATAACCTAGCTGGCTATTGCTTCGTTGTAGCAACGCAAAGTATTTTCCTGGCCCTACTGAAGGCAGGAAATACGTTGCCGTTAACTACAGCTGGGCTAGAATTTCACAATAATGATTAAAAACATTTCAAAGGAAGCAAGAAATGTAACTAGACTATTAAGTGCACTTACATAAATAGTTTATAAAAGGATAATAAATGATTAACAGACAGTAAAAGTGTGTTAGAGGAGCATGAAGACAGAGACATTAGCGTTATTCGCTGCAGGTCTGGAGGCATGAGCTCGAGCCTTCTCTCTCCTGCCCTGGCACAAATGCTCTTCCAGTCGCCCGATGTGGGGATGAGTGGGTGGTGAGCTGCCCTCTGCTCAGGACAGAGGCCTCTGGCGTGGTCACAGGCACCACAGCTTGTCCCGCTGGGGACGGTGAATCACTTAATAAACTGTCTACTATTCGTTCAGCTGTTTGTGTTCTACCCCCTGATTCAAGTCTGAGCAAAGTATTCCTGTCCTGCATTAGCTGTTGAAGTGCTCTTCAGTCTGTCGTGACTTGGAGTCATCCCCTATCCCTAACACTGGGCAGGTTCTAGGCAGTTTAACTCCATTTTAACAGTAAGGAATACATCTTAACTGGTTCAGCATTTTGTGTGGATCGCTCACCGTGGGGGTGTCGCACGGGGGCACGGCTAGCCCAGGGGAAGCAGCAGTCAGGGCTCGCTGCATGTGGAGGGTGGCATGGCGGAGCTGGCCTGCGGCTCGCTAGGTGATGCATGTCCTTGCTGACGCCTTCCCTGCTTAAGACCTGACTTTGTATCGTTCTCTTGGTAGGTCGCCTGCTGTTTGCAGGCTATAACGATTACACCATAAACGTCTGGGATGTGCTGAAGGGGTCCCGTGTATCCATCCTGTTCGGACACGAAAACCGCGTCAGCACCTTGCGGGTCTCTCCCGATGGGACGGCATTCTGCTCGGGCTCCTGGGACCACACTCTCCGAGTAGGTGCTGGGAGCACCTGCTGTGGGTGCTTCTGTCTTGGTTTGATTGTTTAAAAAAGGGGGCGAGAGGGAAGGGCTGCTGCAGGAAAATCGACTCTAGATGGACTAATGAGGATATAAAACCACAGTGTAAAACGTGAACAGAACATTTACATTTTAAAAAATCCCCATGGAGTGCTAGCTGAGCTGTTCAGGGAATTTTGAACTTAGGGGTTAAATGATGTCATTGCTGCTGGTACGCCGTACCACTAACCTGACCCCCTTGCCAAACTTTAATTACACGTTTGATAGAATACTCACTGTCATAAACGATGGTTCAACTCTCTCTCTGCAGATCTGGGCTTAACCTGAGATCCTGTATGCGGAATCAAATGAAGACTGACACCCTGGACTACAAAAGCTGCATAAGAAGAGCCACCCCTCCGAATGGAATATTTGCTACACCAGGAAAGAGGGACACTGGACCCACAGGTTAACACAACTAGGTAGAACACGTAATTGCTTGAACACGTAGCAAACATCGACCTGTAGTAAGATGAAACGGTTTTAATTCTGTTTTGAAACCATCTTTTATTAGAACTAGCTTAGAGAATGATAAAGGGACTTTTCTCTGAAGTCACCTCTATCACAGAATTGAGTATTTCAGTGCACATTATGTATTTATTTGCATGAATCGAGTTGCTTTTTAAAGTTTAAAAAAAAAAAAAAGAGAGGAAAAAAAGAATCCCAGTTTTATCAGGATGTAGCATAAGACTTTGGGAACATTCCATAGTAGTGCATTGAATTTTGGTGTTGAAAGGTGGAAAGAAAAACAGTTCTGACACTTTACGATGGCGTTACTGGATGACTGAACCTTGGTAGGAAGTAGAGGAGCAAAGGATCCACTGTGAAGGTACTGGCTGTTGTCGTAAAAATGTATTTTTTGTACAAAAAAGGAATCCTTTCAATCCCTGTTTTTTCCTACTGTCTTTTTAGATAGAAATTAGTATTTCGTCTGTTATCTGAATATAAGGAATCTAAGTATATACAAGATGATAAACTGCAAAGATGAGGAAGATAAACATGATTTACATAATCATGAGGTAATACTTAACCAGTAGTTTCTTAGAAATTTTTAATTGTATCACTTGGTGAGTGAATTTTCTTTTACTTAAAGGACTACTACACGCTAAGCACTAAGGGGTACTACACGCTAAGAAGGGGTACTACACGCTGAGCACTAAGCACCCTTATACCGATGGTCTTTTCCAAGTCAGTCGCAGTCATTCTAGGGTCATGATTCTTACTTGCATTTTGAGCACTTCATACCATTTTGGCAGGGCAGTGTAGCTTAAACGTGTGTTAAGGCAGCGTATGCCCATCGTCAGGTCCTTCTGCAGTGTCAGAGCGCTGTTAAGGTCACGCCAATGCGCATCAGACCTTCCAGGCCGAGTCCTACGGTCCTTGCTCCAACAGCGATCCCCCACTGGCATGGACGTAGTTTTGTCGTAGTTGGGCTTGAGGGTGAGCAACGGTGAGTTGTTGAAGGCCTGGTAATGTGATGCGAGCCGGCAGGACTGCCCCCGTGCCGAGCTGATGCTGTAGGATTAACATTTAACCAGATAAAGCTGAGATAGTTAATTATAGAACTATTGGGAAATGATACCTGCATTTATACACTGAAAACTGTTGAGAGTGGAGTGTGTCACCTCTGCTCGTCCTGACGGGGCTGAGGCACGTGGGGGAGCAACGTGCTGGAGTAAAGCCGAGGGCTTGCCCGGTCTGGCCTTTGAAATGCAGGTGGTGAGATGCATCTCTGACGAGATCAAGGCGATCGTTTATGTTTAGATTGAAACAAGAGAAAACGAGCTCACTGGGGTGACCTTGATCATGAGCTCACTGATCGCTGGTGTTGGCTCTCCACGTAAGTTGAACACCCTAATTCTGTTGGAAAGTGGGGTTTTCTCACAATTCTATAAAATCTGTATTAGAAAGAAAGCCTCCTCCTTCATGAAAACATTTGGTTCCATGAATCCATTACCGATTAACCTAGGACACTGACATTCCTCTCAGCCTTCAGTCCCTAACGGAATAGCTCCGCTGCTTTCACTTGGAAAAGCCAGCTCTGATGCTTTGCAGTGTCCGTGGCCAACCATCCCTGTAGCAAATGGAACGCACCACGGCAACGTCGTACCGCGCTCGCTGTGCAATATGGAGTCAATACACTGTACGCGTTCCACTGAGAGTAATCTTAATGTTTCGATAGTATTTATTGGTAAGATGTTCGTACTGCATTGTGTTGATACTTACGAATGGCCTAAGTACAATAAATTGTATTTTACATATTGAGAATGTGTAAATAGTTGTTTTTCCCATCAGTAATGTTAACGGTAGCTGGTTTGTTTGGCATTTACTTTTTGCACCATAGGGTTTCTTAGGTCATTCGTCCTGCAAAAATCTAGGGCAAAATCCCGTTCTGCCTGAAAATCACTTCCGGAATATCTTCTGAAAATACCCAAGGTGAGCCAGAGCAGGGGAGAGAAGCAGCCCCTCCAGGGCCCCATCTGAGCTCCTTCTGCGTTCGGGAGGCCAGAACCGAGGTTGCGTGTTCCTGCTCAGAAGGATCACAGCTAACAGGTGATGTTTTCTTGCCGGATCCTCATCACCATACCCCGCAATGGGCTGGAAAACGCGTAGCATTGTGTTTTCTGGGAGCACGGGATTGTCCTGGCATCTCAGCAGGACACGGAGCACCGCAGCGCTGTCGGGGGCTCGGGCTGCAGCTGCCCAGGTGAGCCGTGTTTGCACATCACCTGGAGAGCAGAGAACTGCGCTGGGGCCGGCTGTCCTCGCCCACGAAGGTGGTTGGTGCTCAGTTTAGACACCAAAAAAGGCAGTTCCTTTGCTGAGGCTCACTGTTTCGTTTCCGTTCCTCTGAGGGGCTGGGGAAAGTGCTGAGCCAGCCGAGTGACATCAGTGCCCAGCCCGTCACCAGCTGACATCGCATCTTGCACTTCTGTCCTTGCAGGGTGAAGTCGCGTGGTTTCTGCTCTCCAGGGCCACTGCCTGTGGGCTCGGCACCTCTGAAAATCACCTTTTTGTTCCTGAGGTAACGGTGAAAGCCCTGAGTCAGGACCGGCCTCAACTTCCCATCAGAAAAACGGAGGGAGAGGAACAGGGCACTGAAGCATCCATTGTTTTCCTTACTCACTGGAAAGTTGGCCAGGGAGGCTTTGGAAAAACTGGCATGTTTGAGACCCCGCTTTGGGGTCTCCGTCAAGCTCTTTGGGTCTCAGAAACACCTCTCTTACTTTCCAGAGGGAGAGGTTTTAACCTGCTTCTCGTCCTTTTCCCAGCATGTCCCGGCCTTGGAGAGGAGCTGCGCAGCGGGGAAGCAGCAGTGTCACGAGCCCCGGCACCGGTCCTACCTTCCTGACCTGCTCCCGGCTGGAGCCAGGAGAAGGAAAAGCAGTCCCGAAATGCCACGCAAGCGGGCTGTAAGCAGGTGGAACATATGGAGAGCAGGAGAGCTATAGCTGGGGCAAAGTGGCTGTCAGACCGGCTCCGTTAAACAAAAATGCTGTATAAACAGGAAGGGTGGAAAAGGATGTTGCTAGAGGAGCAGCCTCCCCATTTTGCTCTCCTGCCGTGAGGAATGCACTAAGAAATTCCCACTCCGGGATTAACAATCGTAAGGAAAACTAGTTAAAAAAGCACGTGTGTAAAGCGCGGGCGAAGGCACCGTTCCAGCTACTGCCCGAGCACACAGACTACATTTCCCCACTTCAAAACAAAAGCCAAATATGGGGATGTAAAACTCGAGTTTGCCGCAGGAATGACTCCAAGCGATGGGGCCGCTTCCCGGTCGTGATCTGAGACATTGTGATAGGGTTGATTCCGGCTTGGCCGGTGCGTTCTCAGCCGTTCCAGCGTGCACGCGCCCCGACCTTTGCACCCCGAAGGTCCTAACCCTAAATTTTGCCCGTCGAAAAGCCAGCGCTGCTGCGGGCCTTTGGTAAATGCGCAACGCGCGATGCTTGTGGTCTTGGAAAACCTGAAGCTCCTTCGATGGAGAATACAGGTTTGGGCCACTGATGTGGGAAGAAGCACCCCCCCCCCCCCCCCGGACAAAAAACCACGAGCGAGCGCG